ATTACAGAGATGCACATCACCTAATATGCTTAATTGGTAGTAGGCTTTCGAGCCTATACAGCTTGGAGTAAGACAACATGCATGGAGAGGATGATGTGGACAAAATACTCATTTGCCTAATAATTCTGCACTCCCTGTAGACTAAAACTCTCTGAGAAGATTCTTTGAATGTTTGTGTACACAGGTACATTTGAGCCATAGACCTTGGCCAGTATGTCCAGTCATTTTGCAGTTTTTTGCCTCATCTTCATATTTGAATCCACTAATTCTCCACCCTCAGCTTCAGAAGTGTGCTCTTGTTCAGATGCTCTGCCTTTACTTCTATGCAATATTAGGCAGTGTCAGTGTTCAGCAGTCATTGGCTACTAAATTTTTATTTATTTTCCTATAAGTGTTTGCAACATATGAGATCCTTGCTATCGTTCTTCATTATATCAAAGAAACATGTAAAAAATAAAATAAAATAATGTAAATGGTAAAGTGGTAAATTCAAGGGCAAAAAAAGGCCTGTTGTTCTTGCATCAAGATTGGCTGGACACCCATTGAGTGGAATAGGTCCCAGCCACTCTGCAATCCTGAAATAGATAAGCAACTATGAAAATGGATTGATGTATGAATGACTCGGGAGAACTAAGTAAGTCGAGATGGATTCAATCATCCAAGATAAGTGCACATGCTCGTGTCTTATAATAAATCCTGGAAACCATGATCAACAATTCTGTGATTGCAGGATTTGAGCTTTGCCTCAGCAGAGCACAAACTCCATGGGAAATAGGATGAGTCATGGTAAAGGTGGCATAAAAAACAAAGGCAAAAACGAGAAAATTGCGGTGACAAAAAGTAACAATAAGATGAAAACAGTCATTATATAACCGAAATTAATTACATTTAATGGCATTTTCCTCTATAGCACAACAAGTATAAACTGCTGAAAGAAAGGGAATGTCATAAGTTTTTGTTTTTCTGGTAACATGGTGAGGATATTACAGCTCAAGCACCAGATTTTTTTTTTTGTTTTCATATGAAGTTGGCTTGTGTTTTTCCTTTACACATACAAAGTGATGAAAAATCTGCACAGGCCGACAGTTGTTCTGCCTGGAGCAAGGCCTGTTGTCCCAAAGGAGCTATGGAGGAGACAAAAGCTGGAGCTAAATGGAGAGCTAAGAGGCGCATACATCATCATGGGGATTGTACACTCACATTTCCTGCACCGTGGTGTGACCTTTTTTTTTTTAACAGAGAGTTAATCTGAAGAAATGTGGAGGGATGGCACTAGCAGATAAACGTGGTATAATTCCAGACAAGTGCAGCAAAGTGATTACTCTGTGGCCTGAATATTGAACTGCTAGCTGTAGGATGCAGCCATATTACTCGCTGTGGGAATTTTCTCCTGTCATTGCTCTGGCTGTTTGAATTCAGTTTGAATCAATAGACTGGTTAGATTCCTCCATCAACTGGACATAGAGGTCATCTCCAAAATCCTCCAAAACTGTAGCTGCACTAAATGGTAACACACACGCACACACACGGCAAAATGACACAAAATGCAGAGAATGACATCCATTCTTCAAAAATGTCATTCTGTGATGTGTGTTTCATACACAGTGAATCAGTGGAAAACAGCCTTGATGGAAAAACCATTACTGTCAACAAATATGCACACACATGCATACAAACACACTCACATGTAATTGACTCTTGACAGGAACTGGGCCATCCATATTGATCAGATTGTTGGGTCCAGAAACCAAAACACACTGTGTGCTTTCATATGTTCATTCAAGGACGAACACAGTCTGAGCACATTCAATAATCGTGGGGTCAGGATAAAGAAGACGAACAGTGCTTCAATCTAGTCGAATCTGACAACTGACATCAGTTAAAATTAACGGTCGAAGCCTCTGGATCCTAGCTAGGATACCAGTAGTTAAATCTGTCATTTTCTTTCACATATACATGTTTTGTTCAGTGAAATCAATAAGTGCTTTGCACCTGACCTGGGAATCAGCTGATTCTACACTGCTTAAAACATTAAATAACCACTTTGAAAACATATCAAATCTCAATATGAAAAATAAAGCATGCTGGTTGTCAGTTACTGATAAGGCCTGGGTAATGTGTTGGGAATGAAAGGATCAGCCTGCAGAGGCCTGAATTCAAAGACACCAGGAAAATCAAATTCTGTCACATAAGCTCAGGATGAACCAGCTCTCATCTGTGAAAAGCTAATACCAGCGGTGGCCCTGCCAGTTCTGGTATTCTGTGGGAAATGCCAGTCTCCATGGTAGCGGGCAGTGAGGACTAGAGGACGTCGCGCCGCCCTCGTGACAGCCTCACCCTTTAAGAAAATGCTTTCTAAAGACCTGAACGAATCATGAATTGCTGTATCACTACAACATCTATTAAGAATATAATGTTGACACCTGTGTATTTATGAACTGCTGGAGTCGTTCCATTTCATTTGTAAATGCTTCATGATGCATAGCTAGTCCTTGTCACACTAAATAACTGGTAGCTGCCTGAATTATCTATGACTTGCAATATTACTAAGTATTTAAAATGCCTCAATTTTATCTGTGTGCAGGTGGAAACATGCAGGTTTGGTATAGATAACCGATCACTATTGTGATGATTTAGGGTAGAAACTAAGTTGTTGCTATTTTTTAAATAACAGGGCTTACTGTCAACAGTGTCTTTACCTTTGCATGATGGAGGTCGACTCCATACATGGAAAGTTTCTTTACATTTTCCAGGAAATGCATCTCTGCTTCAGCTGGAGTCATTCCTCTAAAAACACAGTCATACACTTAACAATTTTTGCTGCTCTGAATATTGACACAGTTTAGAAAAAAATATGTGCGGTGAACAACCTGTAGGTTTTGTGCAGCTCTGTGATCTTCTCTTCCATTTCTTTAGTTTGATTCGGAGCAAAGCACAATTCACTGATGTAGTCTGCACCACAGTCATCTGAAATATGTAAACAGACGAACGAGCGGTCAGAGTGAGAGAGAAATGTGGACAGAGAGGTCACAGTAGTATAATAGGGCAGAGTGAGTACCGGGATCATAGTCTCCAAGCTCTGATTGGACTGTGTAGGAGCCGAGGATGGTGTGAGTTGCAAACGAACAAGGAAGACGACCAGAAACTATATCCTGTCTGAGCTGGAGACACAGGAAGTACCTGAAGGCAGAAAAAATTATCAGCGGCATCATACATGGAAACAAGTGAGACATGCACTATAAAGCTTTGATTGACAGGTGTGTGAGCCTACCTGGTGATGTCCTCAGACAGCTGTGCAGGATCAGGAGGGTAAAACTTCACATTAAAAGAGAAGTTCCAGGGAACACCTGTGAGACACACAGCGATGAGTTGTATAACACACAGGGTTAACCTGCCCAACTTGCTGTGAGACCATACTGACCTCTGACCTGCTTCTTCATCTCCTTTCCTGGATCCAACCAGTTCTACAATGAAAAGGTCAGAGGTTAGAAAGACAGGTGGAAGACAGTAAACAGATGGACGGGTGGACAGGTACCTTGTTATTGTCAGCATCTCTGAAGGACAAAGCGAAGTAGTCTCTCTCTAGCAGGTTTATGTGTTCACAAACCTTCTCAAACAGCTGCAGACCTCGAGCTCGTTTCTAAGCACAGACAGAAATAGGTCAGTGATTTTACTGTTTGTCATTTTGGGCTCTCTCCCTCCTGATTGTTATTTCTGTTGTGATTTATATCTTTTATCGGTACTCCATCTGTCTTCACTCTTTCCTCATCTCCATGCCCCTTTACATGAACAAGCCATCTCACCTCCACGGTGCAGGTGAACATGGAGCCATCTAGCAGGGTCACTCTGGCCTGCATTGTTCTAAAGCTCAGTGGGTTTCTAGCAGGAGAGCGAGCAATCCAGCTGCTTGACGACAGGTTACTGGCTGAGTCCTCTGCCAAGGAGCCCTGAGCTTGGGACACCCCACCCTTCTCACCCTAAGGAAGCAGGAAGTGATGTCACAGCAGTATTGATCTCATGATGTTTACTGATCCTTCTATCCTTTGTGTTTTTACCTGTTTCGGTGTGGAGTGGTTGGCAGCTTCAGGGAAAGACTCCGCCTCTGTGGGCTGGGCTTCACCTAGCTCTGTCGTCATGGTGAGTCACCTGCCATATATTAATAACATGGTTACCATAGAGTTTTGTGGTGTTAAAGCACGAGAAAACACTGTCTGAATGTCACATAAACGCTGGGTTCAGATATAGTAGTAATAAACATTATAATGTGGTTGAAAGGAGTAGAAAAGAACCAAATAACTGCTGGCTCAATTTTTTTTTAAAGGTAAATGATAAGCTGTGCGACACACTGCATTTAGCAGTATTTTCACACTTTAACAATAAAGCATCAAAACGTCACAAGTTCAAATATTGGTGATGTAGGATAACCAGTCAGTGTTTTCACCAAAGATATTTTATTTACAGTCACAAGAGAAACAAGTAAACCTGATTCAAACACAAAGTTTGAATTTGATTGAATAATACCCGATTATTCTGTCTCATCAAACTGAACAGCCTGACCCCCATCCAGCTGTCAGGTGATGGTTTGCCATGGCAACATGAGGGAGCGGAGGGAGGGATTAAGGCTAAAATACAAGCTGATGTAATGTGGTTTGGAGTCTGACAGACAATGGCGATGATGTTGTTGTTGTTTTATTCATTGCTTTTATCAAATCCATAGAGTCCATAAAATTACTGTGTTAACTGGCTTGCACAGAAACTGTATCCTAAATCAATATTCAAACTTAATAATAACTTGAACCAAACTAAACCAGAATGAGTTCAGACTGGATTGAGGTTATTACTGAACTGTTTAGTGTCAGGTTGTTCTTCAGTACGATAACAGAAATTACACACATCATGTTTCCTGTAGGTACTCTGTATTCTGCACTGGGAGCAGGCACCGCTCAAGCTCCTGCCCTTTTGGCCTCTTATTTCATAAGCGCCTTTTTTGTGACACAGATTTTTTTTAGTTTCTATTTCAATGTTTTGATATTAAATTTGGCTCATGGAATCAGTTTCTAAACAAAATGTCTGTTTTTGCATCTTGTGAAGTCCTTGTGGATCCTCTTCACTATATCACACAAATGTAGAAAATAATATTTGAATGTAATTACATGAAAAACTAACTTTGTTCCATGGTCAAAACATTTGGCACCCAATGATGTGCAAATACTTGGACGTTAGAAATGTTGTGATCAGTGGCACAAGCAAGGTGCAAGAATACATCAAAGTGTGTGCAAGTCCATCAGAAATGAACAGCAGCATGTATTAAAACGTGAGTATTAATTAAATACAATGATAAACATTTCTGAAGCTAGACAGAAATGCATCAGTTTGTGCAATGATGCACCAACTACTTTGGATCATTTGTGAATATTACCACACATGCATAAGGACAGTCTGAACATTGAGTGAGTATATAAAGCTAGCTCCAAGTACTGGTCATTTAATATGTTCACATATTCGCTTTCTGCTGTTTATCTGGGAAGCAGCTCCCAAATGACCAAGCTCCTCACGTTACCTCTAATCCTGAGCCCAGGCACTCTTTCAGCCCTTCTCATTATTTTGATTACTACACAGAGCTTGTTGAGAGTAAGAATGTAGATCAACGGGTAAATTGACAGTCTCACTTTTGTACCTAGCTTGCTCTTCACCACAACAAACTGATACAGAGTCTGCACCACTGCGCATCAGTCTTCTGTCATCTGCCACTCAAATCTCCCCACACTCGTAGCCAAACTTCTCTACCCTTTTCCAACTGAGAAACCTTGCCAAAGACTTCTCCCTAATAATCACCCAAGTCACTTCTAATTTAGATGCAAATGACCCAAGTGCAAGCTGGAGGTTATTGCTTGATGAAGCCAACAAAACCACATCATTGACAAAAAACAGAGATGAGATCCTGAGGCCACTAAACCAGACCCTTGAAAAACTCAGGACGAAATCTCATCCAACCACAGGCACTGCCACTAAGGAGTTGTTTAGCTACCTCAGGGATCTTTGGGAGGCTGTGGATTAGATGATAGTGAGTCATCTACTAGTTGGAAGGTCAGTAAATTGATTTGAGTTGACTCAATTCAAGTTGTGCTAAATGACAAAGACTCATTCGGTCTAATGAAAACATGTTGGAAATCTGTCTGCATTTACAAATTACATAGCAGTTGTTTCCAAACCTTCAACAGTCTCTCTGAGAGTGAGTGCAGTCTGTCAGTCAGGCTGCAGCTGAGAGGTTGCCTCCTATCGCCTTACAATCAGAGGTGCTTGTTAGTTTTGCATTAGTTATGCAAAACATTGCCCACAATGACATAAGCCCAAACATGTCTGAGACCAAGAGCAGCAGCACTCAAGGTAAAAAGGTCATGTTAGTAATGCTTTTCATACAAAGCTTTTCTGCACTTTTCTCTATACTTCATCTACATAAGAGAGCACCTTAAGGTTCAGTATCGTGCCCAAGGGTACTTTGGCATGGAGACTGAAGCAACCAGCGATCAGGGTCAGAACATGACAGCCAACCACCAAAAAAAGGGGTTGGTCTAAAAATACTATGCAAGAACAAGGTAACATGGTGGGAAAGGTGGTTTTAAAGAAACCGTTTAAAAAGAAAATAAGCCTAGATGCAACATCTCAGGTAGAAAAGATTCTTCAGTTTCTGAAGAGTTAAGTTACTTTATGTATTGTTAATGTGTTAATATAGTTATGGTACATTTTTACTTAAATTTTCCAGCACCTGGGATATTTTAGTGCTTACATTTGACCTGCGCTTTATTGCACCTGCATCCTGACAAATTGACTCATCGAGTTAGGTAGTCTGTCATCAGTGAACTTATTGGAAAAGACAGAAAATGCTCTTCTTTTTGTTTGCACTGATCCTGCTGCCAGCACTCACTGATAAGACATGTTTCAGTTTTTCTTTTTCTATATTACCAAAAATATCATTACATCAAATTTACCTGAATATCATGATAAAACTTTACAGCCATGACTAAGTAACATTAGTTAATAAATAAAATAGTTTCTGAAGCTAATGAGCAAGGCTCATTCCCCATGACACATTAGAAAAACTAAACAGTCTCGAGTATAATGATTTACTTTATAATGCATACCTGCACACCTTATCTAAATTGCAGAGTTGGGGGTGTAGCAGCTATTGTATGGTGACAGCTGTCTTTAATATTGACGTTGGTCCCTGACACGAAGAGAAAAGAATCTTTTTTTAAAAGCACTTCAGTCCAACATAGTCATTAACCATGACCTCGCAAATAAATACATCATTTAGTTTACTGGGTTCATTAGAGGTCACATTGATAGCAGAGCTGTTGCACTAAATTCGAATAGTTTACACAGACCGGTGTACCTAATAAAGTGACAGATTTTCACAATATCAGCTGATTCATCGAATCTGCTGCCAGCATCCACAGACCCACAGACACAGAGCCTAAACCGGGTTTGTTTAATATATCACATTCATTCTGGATCAATTACTGGTGTAATTTCATATAAAAAGATTTTTATATCCTACGGCGGTTTTTCCGGTGGACGAGACTGTCCCGGCGTGTTTGAGTCTTTGTGGTCCTGCAGCAGGAAACAAACACACACCCTGAGCTGCAGTGTGATGAAGTACTAATGATGCTCCTTCGCGCCGTCTCTCTTATCATCGATAACAAACTGCTCATGGCTTCAGTCACTGATCACTGAACAGTAATCGCTATTCTTTCTCCCGCTCTTAAGTAAATCATCCCGTCATCTTTACCTGTCCTGAGCAGGACGCTTGCCCTCTTCCTCCCGGTAACGGACAGCTTTTTTTCCTGATCACGTCATCTCTCACTACGACACACCGTGTCGCCGTGGCGAACCGCTGACGTCAGGACGCAAGGTGCTTTCAGATGTAATTTGTTTTTTAAATAAAGATGAAAACAGTGTTACTCTGAAGAGTACGGACCCCCAAGAGTGCCAAAATAAAATAACTAAATACACCATTAGCCCTTTATTTTCCGAGATTCATACAATCCTAATATCATCCATTTTAACCATTCTAATTTTCTATATAGCCCGAAATGGTAAATAAAAGGTTAAGAAATTGGTTAAACGTGTTGTTAATTAATTAAAATTGAAAATGAATAACTAATTGATTAAAAGCATCATTTTTATTTTAAAAAGATGTAAAATTATTTCGCCTTTTAATTCTTATATATGGTCCCAGTGCTGCAGCGCTTCTTGGATTTATTTTTATCTGACAACCTCACCCATCGCTCTGCAGTTGCTCTTCCTTGGGTGTTTCTCAATACCAGCTACAAAGAGTTTGTACTCGCTACTTCCTGCTTGGAAAGTGCACTCAGGAGTGCAGACATCTGATTATAGGGGGACTGTGAGACAGTAGTATACTAGAGGATATCAGCTCAGCTTTACTATGTGCTTTACTAGTTATTTAAAGTTTTCCAAAGCCCCACAAAGCCAAGCTGGCAGCACCCACCAGCCCCCAGTCATTCCCCGGTTGCACCGCTGCCAACACCCAGCACCACATCCGCCCCACCTAGAACCAAGAGACGACACAACAGATGCAAATATGGAGCCCCTGCATAGCTGCCACAGCACCTACCCAACCACAGCAAGCTAACCCTCATGGAGACACCAGGAGGCACACCAGGCCAGCCCCCACCCCCAACACCCACAGAGGTCCAACCCCCAGAAGGACTGGGAAGCGAACAGCAAGAGTAAAAGAGTTAGAGACGCAGGGGGCCGACGGCACAGTTCCACCTGATTGTGTGGAGGGATTGGTGAGTTGCATTATCATGGCAGTTGGGGTAGAGGAGAGCAGGCAGTCAATACACATTATTGCCAGTCAGACAGTCAGATGGTAGGGTCTGTGCTGCAGTGACAGTTCAAATAATTTCATGATGGACTGAAGCACAGGAAGCACGAAACAATTCAAATAGCGTAATAATCAAATATGCCTTAAAATAAGTTGATCGTTTAATAAGTTAATGTTAAACTTAAAAATTATGTTTTTAATAAAATGTTATTTATTTATTTATTGCTACTGTAATTGCAATTAACACAACAACACATTTAATTCACTATTTAATTATGCTTTTGTATGTTGCATTTAAACAGGAGGAGTTATATAAAATGTATAATTAATAACCTATGTGATGAATGATTTAACAACGCCATGTGTTCTGTGCATAGACTGTAAATAAAAGACTCTGGAAAATTCAGTCCCTGAAACCTGCATTCTTTCCCGTCTCATCGCAAAATGTATGGTTGTATAGAACTTGATGAGAAAACAATGCAAATGCTGGTCTATTTATTACTACTGATTTTTAAAATAAACATTTTATTTATACAAAGCTTGGCTCTGCAAGATGTTTGCAAGAATTCAAATGTGCATGTACTACTCTATATCTGTCCAAATCTTAATTCAATAAAATCGGAATATGTAAAATAATCTATAAATTAAAACGAGATAATAGGTTAGAATAGTTTTTAAGAAATAAATAATCCTCATGCGTGTAACACGCAGGTCTGTCTGCACAGCTGCCATGGTGTGTGTGTGTGTGTGTGTGTTTACTTACCAATACAGTTGAAACAGGAGGTGATCCATCCAGAAAAAAGAAAAGGAAAAAAAATTATATTATTGAGTATTTATCAGTGAAACATCATATCATAGTTACGTGCAAACTTGAAAGTAAATTCAGAAAAAAACAAATGTAATGTGTCGCAAAACCATTCCTCTGAAACCACACTGCTGAATTCCAAGACAGAATAAAAACGCATAAATAATACGCTGCTTCAGTTCAGCACCATCCTGAAATGTGTTCCCATAACAATATGCAAAATCACTAGTTACTCAGTTATGCATCAAAGAGGTGTGTAAAAACCTTGTCATGACACGATTTAACATAATTGTCCAAAACACAGTGAGAAAGTTATGAATATAATCAGCTAGGGTCGACTAATATATTCATGTATTTACATAGTCACCTACCCATTATAATGGCAATCAGTCATTCGTCCCACCAGAACACACAAATCTCGTTTCATATTATGAGTACAGCTACAAAGATGAACTGTACAGATCTAAATGTCATGAACGTCTGTTGAGTCAATGCACTGATTCAACAGCAGAATGTTTCCTGGTTGAGCTGCTGTTGGGGACAGGAGAATTACTATCAATATGAAATTCTCCTACATATGTCAATGCAAACATTTTTCAGTCTCATTACATTTTTCATTCTTCGTACAAGAGAATGGTTTACTCAACCTTCCCTCGTACTGCTCTATCTTACCTGTGCTTACAGTCTCTCTTCTGAATCATGCTCAACTCTTGCTGAACATTTCAATGTTTCTGCCATTCCTTGAAAGTCTCCTAAACGATTCTGCTCATACTAATCCAGTTTGTTTAGCTCCTCAATGACACTGGATACTTCGTTTAGCCAAACTGGATTCCGTCTTCCTAGGTGACCATCTGCTTTTTGGTTTGATTCCTGGCTGCTCTAGTCTACATGGCAAATATCCTTGGGCAAGATACTAACCTCAAGTTGCTCACTGACACATCCATCAGAGCGTGAATGTTAGATAGAGAGCACTTAAGCATGAAAAAAGGTGCTGGTGTGAACGTGTGAATGGGGCATGTTGCATAAAGCACTTTGAGTGCTCAGGAAGAGTAGAAAAGCACTATATAAGAGCCAATCCGTTTACACCTTGGACTAACACAGCAGATGGTTAGAAAGAACATAAGTGGTGCCTTTCAACAACCACTGTCTGCCATCTACAATGCAGTCTTGAGATCTCTTACCAGACACCTCAACTCCCCTTTGGACTTTGTCAGGTGAAATTCAGTAGGTGACAGGTGACGGGTTGGGTAAGGTCTCATAGCAGTTTCACCCAAAACCTCTGGTTGTAATGGCCCACAACCTTTTTTAAATACCTGGAACTTTCTGCCTTTTGGATGAGAAAAACAAGTTATAAAAAACCTTAAAGAAGTCCAGCTGTCTTTGTCCAGCTCTTAAGACTATCACCCTCCCTTAGTTATGCTGCAATAGGTGTGGGTTCCTGGAGGATTCCCATGATGCATTGAGTGTTTCTTCTTCAATCTCCTGTCTCACTCACTATGTGTTAATAGACCTCTCAGCATTGAATCATGCCTGTTATTAATCTCTGGCTCTCTTCCACAGCATGTCTTTACCCTGTGTTCCTTCCCTCACCCCAACTGGTTGCGGCGGATGCCCCCTCTCCTTTTCCTGAGCCTGGTTCCACTGGTTCTTCCTGTTAAAGGGGAGGTTTTCCTCCCCACTGTCGTCAAAGTGCTTGGGGGTCATGTGAGTGTTGGGTTTTTCTTTGTATGTATTATTGTAGGGCAGGGGTCTCCAACTCCAGGCCTCGAGGGCCGGTGTCCTGCAGGTTTTAGATGTGTCCTTGATCCAACACAGCTGATTCAAATGGTTAAATTACGTCCTCAACTTGTGTTGAAGTTCTCCAAAGGCTGGTAATGAACTCAACATTTGATTCAGGTGTGTTGACCCAGGGTTATATCTAAAACCTGCAGGACCCCGACCTCGAGGCCTGGAGTTGGAGACCCCTGTTGTAGGGTCTGCCTTACAATATAAAGCGCCTTGAGGCGACTGTTGTTGTGATTTGGCGCTGTATAAATAAAATTGAATTGAACTGAATTGAATCATGATCTGGATGACTGAGAACTTCAACAGAAATATGTGAATTCATAAACTGTTTTGGAAAAAAGATTGGAAGTACAGCAGGGGAAAATTTCAAATAGGAGAGTCTGTAATTGACGTATTCATTTACTCCTAGCTAATTTTTGTCCTATTATCAGAAGTTTTGAGGGTTCTGCTCATTGTGTTAGCTGTTCCTAGACAGAGACCATGGATGTTGAGCCACTCTCCTAGTTTTGTATCAACGAGGAGATTTCCATGGAGTTACTAACCCAAAACCTGGCATATCTCTGCATGGTGTGTCCTTAAAGCTTTGAGGAAACTAAAAACTGAAAATGATTCCCTTGGGAAAAGGCTGAAGTTTGCCAAATTTCACTAGAACTGGATTGAAAATCATAAATGTGCTCATTGCTGTTGTAAGAGTACCTGACCTGTTGAAATTGTGTCCACTGTAACCCAAAGTTGAGGCTCTGTCATGGTTTGAAGATGCACTTAACTCTCTGAGGTCTAAGCCATTGTTGGTAGTAACCGTTACACTACACTAACCCTGTATCTTGGAGAAAAGCACCTGCTCACCTGACTACCACAGGACTCAGAGCCTCTAGTTGTTCTGCCCTGAGACTTTGGAAAGCACCACATCTCCGAACTACAAACTCTCTCTACCTTTAAATCATGTCTTAAAACCCATCTATTCAGAATTGCCTTCCCTTCATCATGACTTTGGTCTATTTTTTACCATGACTAGCTTTTGTAGTTGGTTTTTATTTTGTTGTACTAATGTGAGGTGACCTTGAGCCTCTTTAAAAGTGCCTATAAATTTGTATTATTATTAATAATAATAATAATAATAATAATAATAATAATAATAATAATAATAAAAGCAAAACAGACACTTTTTTCTGTGATTGTCAAGACTTAGGAGAACAATGAAAAAAACATCTACAATTCTGACTGTCTGTGGTTAACGTAAGGTAAGTAAGTCAGTGCTTAAAGAAATAAATATGGCTAAACATTATCACCATTATCATCTTAAGGCTGACACACACACACACACACACACACACACACACACACACACACACACACACACACACCTTTAAAATGTCCTATTTTTGTCTTTTTTGTTACACTGCATTTAAAAAACAGGAGGCATTATAGAGCAAATTATAGAGCAAGCTGTGGAATATGTAATCATTTCGCTGAACGCATACTCTTGATATCACAGATGATAGTGGCAAAGAAAAACAGATCACTCATGAAACAGATGACTTCTATGCTTTTGTGGGTTGTATCATACAGTAAATAAGAACAATGTGTTTTACCTGTGCAGGTAAGTCCTGTTAATGAAGCTGGTGAAGATAAAATTCCTTTAAATGGTTTTTGTAGATTGTTTTCTTCTTTCTCTTGCTCTTTAGAACTGTCTGTTGTTTGGATGGATTATTGGTTTTTACTCTGATACATCAGGCCACGCCCACACAGATTAACCCCCCTCCCCCTCCTTACAGCTGTCAACCTCAGAATGGGGGGAAAGGCTTACAGCTGTTTTGGATTTACCCATCGTGATGGGCTCCTGTGAGATTGGGGATTTGTTGTGTGTGTGGAATGCATCCTGGGAATAGTAGTTTCCCAGGATAACTGACTTTTTTAAAATCACAGAAAAGGTTATTTTCGAACACTGCACAAGAGCTTTTGTCTGTCAAGGGTTATGAAAAGTGTAACAGCATGTACTGTGCAAGCAAACAGAAAGCAAACCAAAGCCAGCAGAAATGCCCCTCAGAGTAGTTTCTTTTATTATGAAGGTGTACTACAAAGCAGGATATTCAGGTAACTTCAGGTTGACTCTGGGTTTTCTGTACTACAAATGTTGATTCATTTCTTGCCTTATCACCATGGTAACTTGTACTACAAACCTAACCTGCTCTGGGAGAGGTCAGGTAAAAGCACACTTATACAGTACTTTTAAATTAATGCTTATCTTCAGACACACACACACGGTTCACTGTTTTTTCTGGAGGTAACTCCTAATGGCTACCTAGAACTCAGTCTGTATGGTACACTTTTAACTTCCTTTCTAAAATAAGCCTTTATGCTGACAGTACAGTTACCAATCAGGTGATGCCGATACCAGCCTTTTCCTTGCCTGGCAGGAGGAAAACAGGAAGACCACGGTTAAACTTTACGGATGTAGTGAAGCAGCACATGCAGAAGGTTAATGTGATGGAAGAAGGTGCAAGTGATAAGGTGAAATAGAGGCAGTTAGACAGAGGCAACTGAAAGTGAACATTTCAAAGCTCTTTTCTGCACTTATTAACAACAGAGGGCAGAAGCGAGGGGGGAGACAGGACAAAAGACCTCCTGTTGAAGAGAGCCAGAGATTAATAACTGGTAATGATTTAATGCAGACGGTAGATTATTAGTAGTAAATTCATACATATTCATAAATTCAGCTGAAGTATATTATCAAAGCTGCAAGCAGCAGTGACAGTGAGAGTCCTTGCACACTCGCACATGTTCAAGCAAGCTGTGGCATGCTGTAAGTGAGGAATGCCATGTGCTCAAGCGGATGTTTTCAGCCCAGGATGCTAATTGGGTGTTCTGTAAATCAGCTGCATAACAACTCCTATCCCCATTAGGTGGCAATGAAGAATACTGGGTACCTATATGTCACGGTGTTAAATGTTATTAATGGGCCCACCAAGGAAAATATGATTTTCATAGAATAATAATTGTCACCTACTGCATATTCCCTGTTACCACTAGGTGGCGCCGTAAGTGTTGGGTTTATATGGCTCCAAGAGACTTGTTTGCATGTCTCATAACATTACATGACACCGCACAATATGAGACACACAGATGAAGCATAGCGTCAGAGCTGCTTCTGTAGAACATTTATAGATGGTGCTACAGAGCCAGTTTGCAACACTAATAAATAAGTCCCGTAAAAATTTAAAGCCTATTCACCTTGAAGGTGTGTGCCAAGTCTCATGGTTTTTAAAGCTTTCCAAGCCCCTGAAAAGTAAGTTTCTGTTTCACAGTGTGCTGTTGGGTGAAAACTCATAATTTTCACAACATCAGCAAGGTCTGAGGTGTATTCAGACTGCTTTTGAGGTGGATGCAGTTAACATGGGTGAAGAACTCTAAAACATTTTGGAAAACATAATTTAATCGTACAAACTGTTTCCCAAATTGTCTTTTCCATTGCTGCTGTTCAGCAATCCAGTCGTCCAACTTCAAGGACGAACCTGTTTGACGCGTAGGGGTGGCTGTAGCGCTGGAGGTAGAGCAGGTCACCTACTGATCAGAAGGTTGGTGGTTTGATCCCTGGTTTCTCCAGTCTGCATATCAAGTATCTTTGACATGCAGACATCCAAGTTGGTCTCCAATGCATCCATTGGAGCGTGAATGTAGTTAACGAAAGCTCTAAGTATAGAGCAAGTGCTTGTCAGAATGAGTGTGATTGGGTGAATGTTGTATAGAGTGCTTTGAGTACTCTGGGAGAGTAGATCAGTCCATTTACACTTGAAATGTTAATTTGGACCCAGATTTTAAATCAGATCAACTGTGTAATCTTGTTGTTTTTCATCTGTTTATCAGAGTCTGAGTTGTTGCTGTTGTCAGTTTGAATATTGAAATCACCTGAAATAATACCATCAAATTTTATTGCAATTTTGGAAAGAAATTCAACCATTTCCTCCAGGGAAGAAATGTCTCAGCTCCTGGGAATGATATAAACAGCAGGAGAATTCATTGCCAACCTTGGTGATGAATTGTTTTTTTTTTAAGGCTTTAAGACATAAGGGCCTGAATGAGGTTGAATTTTAAATCCTTCTTCTCACATACAAAGGTCTCAATGATTATTCCAATGAAGATATAATAGAACCATTTTATCCCAATAGAGCATTCTCAAAATGCAGTAATTGTGACACCTAGAGTTTCTAAAAGTAGACTGGAGGAAGATCTTCACTTATCAGGCCCCTCTCTTGTGGAACCAGTTCCCAGTTCTAGGCTGGGAGACTGACACTCTTGACTTTCATGCTTAAGTTTCCTTGTGATAAAGCTTATTGTTAGGGCTGATCCATGAATGATCCATTTTTTAAGCTTGTTAAGCTATTATATGCTCAGGTTTCTCAGCCTTATTTCATGCAATGAGCAAACATTTTAACTTCACTTCTTTTTTTTCTCTACAGTTGAATTTGCGTACCATTCATTTTCTTCATCAGTGTTCCATAGTTTGCATTTTGTTCTTGTTTTCTCTATGCTCTTCTTTTTTTCACTCCTGTGTATGCCCAGGACAGAAAAAATATTCAGCTTATTTTACATTATTTTACCCAGTATCATGGCAAAACATTGGGTCCGTTTATATACATGCAGAAGTTGCAGTAAATTGCATTACCAGCAGAGGGGGATATTTTATTTCATGAACATGAAAATAATCAGGAAAGTGTTTAAACAGACATTATTAGCAGATTTACATGTAAATACATATTAGCCACTTAGCTTAACTGTTTCTGGCGATTAAGGACACTTTCTTGCTCACTAGCAACTTCTCACTTTTATTATTATATTATCTCCCCTTGCTGGTACTACAACTTCTACATGCATATCCATTTCACACTTTGCCTCTCCAAACCATGAAAGGAACAAGTTGGACTGACGTGTGTAATCTATGCTTTGCTGTGATATTGGGTTTTGTAGCCAGGGTGTACCTCAAACATACGTTACATACATCCAACATTGAGCTATACATGTTAGCTCAATGTTAGCCTTAAGCATTAAGGCTTATCTTCTGCCAGATAGATGTTTATCTATTGCTCACCATTAGCCGTCTATTCCACTTCACATTGTGGAGAAATTGGCTGCAGTTGAGGTGGATGTGCAGAAGGGAGACCTTGCATCTAGTTCTCTGTAAATAGAAATTAACTATACTAGAGCTAAATGGCTAAAAAATATGCATCATATCCAGAACAATATCTTAGTTTTTACAGTTATTTGTCCTTAACAAAAAAATATCCAAACAGAGAAATGAAACAACTTTAGTTGTTTTATTTTGAACTGGCAAACACCAACATGTTGACAGACCAGAGCTGGAAAATCTGGGGCTCATTGTCTTTGGTTCTACCTGCTGAACAACACGTGACTGGTAATCCCAAGTTTAAAAAAAATAGCAATAAATACATTCAGAATAAGACAAAGATGAAAAAAGGTTTAACATAATGTGCTTTATTTTCAGTGATATTGTGCTTAGATTAAACTCAGGTTAAGCAGGTTAGATTTTCAGTGGAAGACTCCATGAAGCTACAACTTTGTAGTTTAGGATCAGTCAAATCTAAGAAGTCATGCTTCGTCTCGGCAAGTCAACAACAACTGGAAAAAGTGAGTACATTTCTTTTTAGGTTAACATGTACACTTGATAGAAAGTAATGAACCCAGCTTACAAGTATTCCAGGGTACAAATGATAAACTAATAGAAATAATTAAAGACATTGGGCATCCTCCCAACAATTGAAATTAAGGTTTTGTAGTGAGATTGCTTAATGCTGACTTATCCTGATTCATTTTGATATGCAGTCAAAACTAACTCACAGCAAAGGTCGTAGAAACAAAATGGGAAATCCTCACTACAGTGAGTAACTTATATGAACAACAGGTATGTGTTACCTGTACATTTAATTTTTTACTTCAAGCAATTTTCCATAATACTGACAAAAACTGAAGCTATTTTACAGAAGTGCACTGCATTCACAAAAATAAAAATAATACAGGTCTTCTGGAAATAACATCGAACCTCATACACAAAACACTTACATTCAGCTTGACTTCAGATTCCTCAGGATATCATTACCTGGGCATCCATAATAATAACCAGCATGACAAGGCTGAGGCACAAAACACTTTGGTGGATACAGTGCTCTTCTGTAGTTATGTGGTCATGTACTAATGCAGAAGACTAAAGTGATGGATGAGTCTGCACTTTTTCATTTGGAACCCAGAATACCGTACATTGAAAGTCATTCCACACATTTTCCAGATGATGGCTAATATCCCCTTATTTGAGAGCTACCACATTAACACAGAAACATTTTGTTGCACATTCTCTGCCGGCAAAAGGTTCCATACAAACTTTTCCAGTGAGAGTTTAGAGAGCTGATCAACACAGCTAAACAGCAGGTTCTTGAATATTGTGCTGTTGCTTCTCTGGAAGACTCCTTATTGCTAATTCAGAAACCAGCAGAGCCACATTCGCACACCATTTCGACGTCTTCACACAGTCAGTGTTTACACAGTCTTTGAATGTGGCCCTAATGTTTCTCGGTCATATACTGAGTTGTGCTGTCAGTCTCTGAGTCAAGTCCTGATTGGTCTTTCTTCTGCGTCAGACCAGAATATTTCTGTGAGATCATCCTCAACTTCTCTTTGTTAGAGTACTTTCTTTGTGATTTCACTTCCTCTGACATTTGATGCCTATCCTGTGATATCACTTTGTGTGATGATGAGGAACATGAATCGTTGTCTCTGTGTTTTAATTTGCTATAACCTGTGATGTTGATGCTGGTCGACAGGCTGTGCCTCCTGCAGGGCGGCAGTGGTGTGGATGAAAATGAGGAGAGGGACAGGTGGGAGGGGGTGAGGGAGGAAGAGGAGAGGAGGAGCAGGGCCTGGGAGCCTCCCGGTGCTTCCTTGTAGAGGCCGGAGGAGCTGCAAGAAGCTGTTAATGAATCCTGAAGGGGTCTATTTAGGGGGGGACTAGAGTAGCGCTGAGGAGGTGGGGGGCATCCATAACCCTCCTCCCCTGGTTTGTCGTCTCCTCTGTCCCTCCTCTGCTGTTCCTCTTCTCCTTTGTCCCCTCTCCAGCCCTGGTTGGTCCTGGCTCGAGCCGAGTGCCTTCTCTGCAGCGCAGGGGGTTTTGGGCGGCGCAGAGGTAAGGTGAAAGAGCTTAGCATATTCTTTGTGGTCCAGCAGGTGGAGGGGTGGGTGGGGCTAAAACTTTGGGGGAGGGAAAGTCTCTGCGAGGAAGAGGGAGGAGGAGCATCTGTTTGTTCCTGGTATATACTGAAGACTGCGTGTCCTCCTCCATCATTGCCCCAACCTTCCCCTGCTCCTTTACTGCTGCCAGGTTGCATGGTTAACAGCCCACCTCCCACCCCACTGTCTCCCACACCTTCTCCTCCCCCCTTTCTGTTTATCAGGGAGTCAGGATATGCCCTGGGTTTGGCTTCCAGGCTCTTTGATTGGATATAGTTAACAATGCTGTTGGGGGGATTGGCTGAGCAGCAGGAGGAAGTGTTGGGTTTCCGGAGGCTGTGGAGGTCAATAACAGTGGAATAAATGTCCCTCAGGTTGATGACTTTTGTCTTCTTGTCACGGTTTTCATGCAGAACAGCATTGGCACAGATGAAGAGGAAAATGCCAATCCCCATGATGAGTGGGCCAAAGACCTTCAGTCTATCAGAGTACAAATACCTGAAGAGACAATCAGAAAACAGACCAATCCTTAGGAGAGCTACTTAAACACCCTGAAGTACTTTTAGGACCATGCTGAGTTTTAGAAATTCCAAATAGACTGCTAAAGCTCACTAGTATCAACTTTAATCTCCACCAGCACAGTCAAGAAGCATTCATACAACAAGAAATTAGCTATTGATCTAACAAAATGAAATGTTTATGATGAATGAAATAGCCATTGGTGGCATGTGTGCAGTACTGATTGAGCAGGGATGAAAAACCTATCGAGGATGTTAAAGAAATGCATGAACATAACAGCAGACTATACACTATGTGGACATCTGCAGAAAACCCATTCCTTGAAGCTTATAGCACAGTTTCTGTGCTGAGGCAACCTTTATATTGGGGTATATTGGGGCGATCGTGGCTCAAGAGTTGGGAGTTCGCCTTGTAATCGGAAGGTTGCCGGTTCGAGCCCCGGCTTGGACAGTCTCGGTCGTTGTGTCCTTGGGCAAGACACTTCACCCGTTGCCTACTGGTGGTGGTCAGAGGGCCCGGTGGCGCCAGTGTCCGGCAGCCTCGCCTCTGTCAGTGCTCCCCAGGGTGGCTGTGGCTACAGTGTAGCTTGCCTTTGCCAGTGTGTGAATGGGTGGATGACTGGATGTGTAAAGCACTTTGGGGTCCTTAGGGACTAGTAAAGCGCTATATAAATACAGGCCATTTACCATTTATGAACTATGCCCCACAGCACTTGGCACTTGCATTACGTAACTTCATGTGGACTGCCACTCGGTGGCTGGGTGCTTGTGGTTCCTGAGCACTTCCACTTTGCAATAATGCCATTGATTGTGGAATATGTTGGAGGAAGGTATTGAAGGAATTTCCCCAACTGGCCTGTTGGAAATGTTTCATCTTCTTACAATACTATGCTTGAATCCAGTGAATTTCGGAAACAATGTCCCCTTTTTTCACAAAGAAGATTGCTGGGTGCTTGATTTTCAATACTTGTGGCATTGGGACTGACAACACCTGAATTTAAAGGTTTGGGGCCACATCTTCTCCATGTGCAACCACAATCTGCAAAGCAGTCATGAGGCAGTGAATTGTTCCATATTTACACAGGGCTTTAGAGTAGGAACTAAACTTCTTTCAAAGCAATTTCAATTTCCTACTAATTTCTAACTGATTGCAGTGACATGGTATGAATGTTACCCTGCTATCTCATCCACAATATGAAGAGATATTTCCCCTGCAAGTCCAGAACTTCCCAAAGGGCCTTTACAGCTGTTCTGGCAGCCTCGGCTAAAGCAGACAGGCTAGTTTGTTTACCTGTCCAGAAAGTCCTGTAGAAAACCTTGTGAAAGATGTCTGGTCGTCCCATTTATGGTTTCTGTCTGGTTAAAACCATCATCGCTTCCTCCATTATCCTGCACGTCATCTGATTGCAGTACACCTTCTCTCACTTCTCGCTGGAAACAGTCAGACAGATGTTCAACTTGACTTAAGATAAGAAACACTTCATGACAAAATGTGAAAAATGACTGCATTACAACAGTCAAAATATGAAAACCACCTTTGCCCAGTAAAATACACACAGTGTCAGTGGTGTAGTGTCTCACTTGGGCATCAGCAGGTGCAGTTGTTGGGGTGTCTGAGGAGACAGAAGCCATGGCGGTGCCCTCCTGTGGCTGAGAGCTGAAGAACAATCCATCACGAGGCCAATAGCCCAGAGCTGCCATGACCACACCCACAACCAGAACCAGAATGCCAAGTGCAGCCACGAGACCCGAGACTGAACACAACTTCAGCTTCCCCTTTACCACCACTACCTCACTCCTCCTAGGGTTTGGGAGGCGGGGACATTGGTTAATTGCGTCATCGTATCACTAACCCCCAGGTGTGTCGAAAAACACACGCAGCCAGGTTACATCACCTCTGAATGCGTGTCTGTTTGTGAGTGTGCATTACCTCTTCTTCTTCTTCTTCTTCTGTGCGTGTGGTTTATGTGGTCTGGATAGCGAGTCCTGTCGGCGTGCGTTGATTCTCAGCAATCCACCTGTTGCGATCATCACCACCCACCAATCAGATGGTGGCCCAGCAGGTTAAGCCCCGCTGACCTCTATCTCAGCTGGACTGTGTCACACCAAGTTCTTGTCAGAGAGACACAGAGTGTCAGATAAAGAGATGTGTTATGATATCACACTGTGTTGTTTGGAGGGACAGACATAAACTAGTTTAATAGCAGTTCTGTTCATCTGTGCACAATCGATACTGAAACTCAGCAAACAGTACAAAGTTTGGTATTCTTAAGTGAGTTTTCACCACTAATATTCTCATAGTGACAGACACGTGATGGATATTAAACCCATTTGCCTGTTCAATTTTTTATTTAAGAGTGCAGGAACTACACCTCCCAGCATGCACTACTGCTCCATAGCAGAACCTTTACACCGTGTGATTGACTCTCCTAATTCTGACTCCTACACCCAGCCATACTAATACTGAAGGCAAATACTGGCTGGTACATGTTACTGTCTAATAATGACTGATACAGGTCAGTATGAATGATACCTACTGATGAGTGCTATCAAATCAGTACTGTTCAACACCAATCAGTAACAAATCAAAACAATTTGTTCTTAATAAATGAATCTATTGTTGAAGGTAAAAATCATGAACACTGTTCTTTGTAATCACTACTACTGTGACATATGATCACTACTGCAGCAAATCAGTCACCACTTCAAAAATACAAATCAATAATCAATCAGCAAATATAACACTGATACATATGATTTAATATTCTGACTGATCTGATCACACTGCTCAAGCCTTAATGAATCACTGCTTGTTACTAATCAATAACAAAACACACACAAAAGGAGAACTCACACACAGCATAGCCCTACAGTATTGATCACTGGTGTTGAATATCAATTGAGCACTACCTGTCAGTACTGATCAGGGTTGGTTAGTTCACATAAATCAGTCATGAGAGCAAAACCGACACAGATAAGTACTGATCAGAAACACTGTGCAAACACTTAGATACACGTAAAATAAAGCGTAAGGTGTGTTTGTTCTCACAGACACCGCTGCTGTCGGCTCTGTTCTCCTGCGCTTCGTGCTGCTGCAGTCTCTAAATCTCTCCTTGTCTCATCGCCTCCTGCTATCGTCTCTCCGGCTCTTTTCTCTCTCTCCCTCTGCTCCGCCCTCTCTCTGTTTCTGCAGTGATGCTAAGAGTCGTTGAATCTCCTCCCCCAAAGAACGAAAGGCACAGTGAGAGTGAGCGAGAGAGCACCAGAGGAACGAGTTCCAGTGTGTCTCTCGCTCACTCTCTCTCCTGCTGCTGTAATTCAGTCCATAAGTCTTTCATGGCATGAAACCTGATTAAATATCATTAACGCCAATTATAATTGTATAATTTTATACAGTTATTACAATAACAACATATGTTGCTGTGTCTGGATGAATGCATGTGTTTATGTACTTTAAACAAAGATTTTAGCAAATTCTATCAAATCAGTACTTAAATTATTTGTTACAATAAATGATCCTTATGTGCTGATAATATTACACTACTAGAGTCTCATTGCTTCAGCACTAACCATGGTTTGTTTTCTGTTGGGTATTTTTTCAGTTTATGGTCATTGGTTCTTGATTAGAATCTGTCTCTGCTTCAGATGTTCTCTGTCAAGAGGAAATGACGTTCTTAAATTATACTACTTTTTAAAAAAGTAAAGGAACACTTTTTTCATCAGTTTTAGCACCTTTGGTGTTTGGCATCAACAGGTCCACTAGAGGGGCAACAAGTTTTCACTAGTTTTGCATTTGGCTAAGGCCAGTGTCACTACTGGTAACATGAGGCGATATGTGGACCCTACAAAGAACAACGAGGTGGAAGTTCATCCAACTCCTCCAGGGTGGCACATCAATACGTGCCATTGCCAGAAGACTTGCTGTGTCTCCTAGCACGCCTGACGCCTTAACGCCCACTCACATCCTGGGCCATTTGACCTCAGTAAATCACATGATAGGGTGGGGCTAGGTTTCACCCGAAGCCTTGGCTGATTGTGACCCGTTTTCACACCCTCTCTCGTGTGATTAGGTAGAGGATCACTAAGGGGTCCATGACCCTCTTGGGGACACTACCATATTGCTCTTAAAACTGAAGAAGCTTCTCGGATTAGAGGTGAAACGTCTTCAAAGAAACTCAAAGAAGTCCAGATGCTTTTCTTTCCCAGCTCCTTAGACTATGATGACCTGGATGACTGAGAACCTCCACAGACGCTTGTATGAGTATTTACTGATCTACTGAGAGTTTCCTAAACAACCATCTACAAGGTTGGCAGAGAATGGTCCAAAAAATAGAAAATTTCGATGTAGCATGCTTTGATGGGACTGTCGATGTGATTTGGCACTATGGAAATAAAATGGGTTATAATGCCCGTGAGATTTGCCACACTGCTTTTCCCCACTTTTGATGAGAAGGTCAGAAATTGGTTAAAAGTAAATCAGAGCTGCAGTCATATAATTAATGATACAATAAACCCAGTTATTCATATTTTATCATTTTTTGATGGATCTTGATCTTATTAACCTCTTCTTTCTTACACTATACATTGTATTTTTCTTTAGTTATGCGTATTTATGATAGTGTGTGCAGAGAGGCACACATCACACACACTGTCTATAACACATAAAAACATTGGCTGGTCTGAAGAGTCTTGATTCCTGCTGCGATATTGGTCGGGTCAGAATTTGGCATAAATATGAAAGCATGAACCACACACTTCGGGCACACTGGGCACAGTTTAAACATCACAGCCTACTTGGGTACCGTTGCTGACCATGCCCATCCCTCCAGCTGTCAGAAGATAATGCATCATATCACAAACCTCAAATCAATTCATGATCTCCATATTAACCAGATCTCAATCCAATAAAGCACCTTTGATATTTGGTATAATGGGAAAATTGTATCACACATGATCCTGAAGAAAGCCTAGTGGTTTCCTGTTCTTGCTGGATACAGGATTTAAGGAGCTCTACTCCTACAAAGTCAATCAGTGAAAGATGACGAAAATGCAACTTGCTGAAATATATATATGGGTTCTTCCTTGTGCAAATGAGAGATCACAGCACACAGACCAGATCAGAAGCTTTATTGGTCTCAACAAATACTGACAAACAGCAAAGAGAAGTTAGACAAAGGCCCTAATATCAGCCCACTGTTGGAAACATGAAAATACCCGCCTGGACCTGTTACAGTGAAAACCTGAGGAAAGCTGTTGTGTAAACTAGAATTTGCAAACTCAAAGTGTGCAACAGACCACTGCAGGCCAGGATATGCTGATCTGAGTTAAGGTCTACAGCTCAGCTCCTGCTGCGCCATCACAGAGGAGAAGAGGTCAGAGAGAAGCGAGACGAACTGAAGTACAAATCTATAGATCTATGGTTACTCTAAAATAAAACTCTATACAAACACGGTAGATAACAAAACAGACTGTAACACGAGAGAATAAAATTATAAATATAGACTTTGCAATTATTCCAAAGTTAAAAAATTTCTTCTGAAAATTCAGAGTTATTGAACAGTTATTTTATTGATTGTTTAAGAGACGCAGCCAATTACACATTTCCACAACCTGACAGATCCCAGCAGAGGTGGCAGGATGATGTTAAAAGTTAACAGGATTAGTAATGTAATGAGGAGAGAGCACATAGTACTGTGATCATGGTAGAAATCTGCTGACTGATGAGGCCTGAATGAAGACAATGGTTTTGTTCATCTCAGCATGGCGTTGCATCTCATCAAGACACTGCGAAGTCAAGAAGAAGTCTAATAAAGTTCACCCCAAAATCAAAAGGACATGGACCTTTGGTCTCTAGGGCTACGTGTGCACGCAGATGCAACTTACCCAGTTTTGGAGACCTATGCAAACATCTCCATGAATAATATCTGTTTAAGTAGTTTTGGGACTTTTGATGATGTATTTGATGTATTTTGTGTAATACTATTTTAGAATGTTCATTTTTCTCTTTTTTGAAATTCTAATGCCATTCTGTAATTAGGAGAGTTTTCTCATAACACTGTAATGATGTTTAAGATTTTCTAGGAATTACAGGTTTTGATTTTTACACACTCAGCACAATGATGAGACTCGTGTTAATTATGGAAACCTTTTCAGTAAACCGGACTTTTGTCACTGTGAGACCGAAATGCAGTTGTGAATGTTTCAAATAAATGTCTGAATTTTTCTTTTCTTCATGTGAGGAATAATTTCTGTCATGTTTTTAACTCTCTTTCGTGGAACCACTGCTTTACTAAAATCAATGCAACACTTTTTGTTCACAGAACCCTTTTCTTACAATACAAATCTGTTGATAACTTACGTTTGCATTAGAGGACAAATAAAAGGACTTGACTCTGAGTAGCGCAGTCTGTTTAATGTTCTGAAGGGGCCTTTTTTAATTTGACATGTGTGTTTTGATTTTTTTCCCTGATATCATAATATTACAAGTAAATATGATCAAATAAAGCAACTTGGATCAGATAACGGTGAAACTACTTCCCAGGACTGATTTACAGATAAAATAACAAAACGGAGAAATCTATCTCAAGATGTTTTGATGCAGATTTTTTTTTTTGAACATCTCAGACAATCGACTGAGCACAGCCATGTTTCCTGGCAGAACTGCCACTGCTGATCATACAAGTTGTAAGTCCCACTTAAAGCTTTGCCTCCAGTTTTTAGTTCACCTGAATAAAGCTGTGCCCCATCCAAAGGGCAGTTTCCCTAAGTGACGGTTGGTTGTTTTCACATGAAGTGTTAATGATGACAGTAACTGAATGTCGAAATGACGTCACAGGACCTGCCAACAGAAAGGTCACTGTAACGTCAAACAAATTCAGGTGACAACAGGATGGAAAACATGGCTCGTCCAGATCAGAGAATAAGGGGTAGATGCCATGGTAATGGGGTCTATCAGGTTTGGATTTGGTCAGTTACGAGCTGCAAATGTCAAGTATTGGTATGCTCAACATGTGATTGGCTCCTATCCTTAGCATGTGATCGGCTTCTGTCCTCAGCGTGTTTGAACATCAGGATGGAATTGTAGATCTTGAGGGCAGGGCCGAGTTTGATTGACATAATCCGGATGATGTCCCGCTGGGTGAGCAGGAGGAAGGCCCGTCCATCAATTTGCTAGAACAGAAGCAGGAACAGATCAGATCATTGCCACTGTCACGTCATTAGCTCTACACCACCAGATCATCTCACCTCGTCTCTGAACTGTTTGGCCTGTTCCTCACAGCCGGGGAGAGACTCTATGAAATCTGACACCTTAGAGGGAAAGAGCGAAAAAAATCCATTTGTCATACATACAGTCAGTAAAATGTGTGCAACGCAATGTACGTTAATACAAATAAATTGAGTGAGCACTCTTATTTACTATTAGTGAACTACATAGCTGCAGCATCTCTTTGCTCTCTGACCTGTTGGACGCTCCAGTGTTGGACAGTCTCAGCGTGGACTCCTGCGACACCTGGTAACAATTTGCGGTGTTGCTCCCAGCATAGTGACAGGTCGCGGCTGGGCTGTGCTGACATGGCTGAGAGGAAGACAGACTGGTGGAGGGCGGCCTGCAGACTGGATTCTAGAGGTCAGAAACACCAGTCAATGACAACCACACGGCAAAACCTCAACAACAAAAATGACAACACCTTAGTACCAAACAGCAGTGGCTTCATAAACAAACACAACCAATAACAGTGAGAACAATTTTAAACTCCCCAAATATAGAAGTTTCTATTCAGTGGTAAAAGCAACCAACAGGGGAGTGAACAGCAACATTGATTTACAATATGAAATGTTAATGTGGTGAGACGTCATCCACAAACACTGTTTTTCACAGCAGAAACCCCGCAGAGACCTGCCACATACCAAATATGAACTTATTTAATATGTGGAGAGTCAGCAGGTCTCACCACTAAACACTAAGATGGGCATCACGTGATCCTGATCAATCAGCCGATTGGTAATTGGAAAGACTCGGATGTCCTTTACAGGATTAAGCACACAGAGAACAACTAAAACAGCAGCTACCATGGTGAAATGTTTCCATAGAAACAGCCACCTTATCTGCCTGCTGTTTCCATGGAAACAGTGAAGAGAGCAATGTTGTTTCCAGAGTGTGGATGAGTTTATATGTCAGTGACCGCTTCCACCATCACAAACAGCAGCGTTGTAGTTTCACCTTTTTTATGCCACAAAACAGCTGGAACACATCCTGTGATGCTGCAGCTGCAGATATGTCACACCTCACTTTTATTTCTGAAACATATGTATCTGCTTTCTGTCTTATATGTAAGCTCCCATTCAAAAAGAGGGGCTGATGCATCTGAAGCTGTGTGCTAACTGACCCTGACCTGAAGAAGTTCAACACATAAAAATCAGGTATTATCAATGACAGATTGCATTTTATACAGGCTTAGGCTGATTTTAATCTAATTTCAGGCTCATTTTAAGCTTGATTATAATAATAATAATAATAATAATAATAATAATAATAATAATAATAATAATATGAGGCTAATTTTAGGGGTAGACCAACTGTGGGTGTAGGGAGAAATTGATAGGTTACACTGCAGAACATGTTAGAGTACTGCTACACTTTAAACTGCTTATGTCTGTAGTATGTTTCTGCATAAAGCAGTTCAAACATCAATATCTGTGTTTGTATTCAGTAGTTTAGCTGCTGTTGTCTCTCTGAAACCTGACGTCAGCGGTTTGGTGAATTCTGCAGTATATTGCAGAACAGTGAACAGTGAAGGAGCAACTCTCCACTTTAAACAGCCCACCACCACCCTCCCCTCTCTCCCAACTTAGTACCTGGGCTGAGGACTCTGAGATGAGGCTCCTCCTCTTCCTGTTTCACACGAAGGAATGTGGTTGGCTGGGGCATTTGGGTGGTTCTAGCCATAAAGTAGAATACAAGACAACCATTATGAGTGGAAAAAAACAAAGAAAAAAAAACAGCATTCTACTGTGAGTCCACTGTATTTTCACTCTACTGTGAGTCTATATTAAACTTAACTATTCAGAATCACTTGTGTATTTGAACAGGTTTTACTCACTGTGGGATCTCACCCTGTTCTCAAGACAGAACTTATTAAGCCAATTATTCTAAGTCATCTAAAGTGATGGAAACCTTCAATTCATCCATCCATCCATCCATTCGCTTCCGCTTATCCTTTTCAGGGTCGCGGGGGGCGCTGGAGCCTATCCCAGCTGTCATAGGGCGAGAGGCAGGGTACACCCTGGACAGGTCGCCAGTCTGTCGCAGGGCCAACACACAGGGACAGACAACCATTCACACTCACATTCACTCGCACATTCACACCTAGAGGCAATTTGGATTATCCAATTAACCTATCCCCACAAGCTGCATGTCTTTGGACGGTGGGAGGAAGCCGGAGTGCCCGGAGAGAACCCACGCAAACACGGGGAGAACATGCAAACTCCACACAGAAAGACCCCGGCCTGATGGTGGAATTGAACTCAGGACCTTCTTGCTGTGCGGAAGGTTCAATTCAATTCAGTCTTATTTATACAGCGCCAAATCACAACAAGAGTCACCTCAAGGTGTTTTATACTCTAAGGTAGACCCTACAATAATACATACAGAGAAAAACCCAACAATCATATGAGCCAATATGAGCAAGCACTTTGGTGACAGTGGGAAGGAAAAACTCCCTTTTGACAGGAAGAAACCTCCAGCAGAACCAGGCTCAGGGAGGGGCGGCCATAAGCCGCGACCTGTTGGGGTGAGGGGAGGATGACAGGACAAAAGCCATGCTGTGGAAGCTTGAAACTTAAATTACAAGTATGATTCGATGCAGAGAGGTCTATTAACACATAGTAAGTGAGAAAGGTCACTGAAGAAGAAACACCCAGTGCATCATGGGAATCACCCTACACCTATTGCAGCATAACTAAGGGAGGATACAGGGTCACCTGGTCCAGCCCTAACTATATGCTTTAGCAAAAAGGAAAGTTTTAAGCCTAATCTTAAAAGTAGAGATAGTGTCTGTCTCCTGAATCCAAACTGGAAGCTAGTTCCACAGAAGAGGAGCCTGAAAACTGAAGGCTCTGCCTCCCATTCTACTTTTAAATACTCTAGGAACAGCAAATAAGCCTGCAGTCTGTAAGCTAAGAGCTCTAATGGGGTGATATGGTACTACAAGGTCATTAAGATAAGATGGGGCCTGATTATTTAAGACCTTGTATGTGAGGAGCAGGATTTTGAATTCTGGATTTAACAGGGAGCCAATGAAGGAAAGCCAATACAGGAGAAATCTGCTCTCTCTTTCTAGTCCCTGTCAGGACTCTTGCTGCAGCATTTTGGATTAGCTGAAGGCTTTTCAGGGAGTTTTAAAGACATCCTGATAATAACGAATAACAGCAGTCCAGCCTTACTGTTTGAATGTGGTCAAGTGTGTTTTTAGGTTATATAATCTATCTTATATAACATCTACTCAACTATCACCCACACACACTGCAAAATATGAACTTTATTCTGAAAATGAGAAAGTTCCTGAAGAAATTTTATTATGCCAGCGCATCATCAGTAGCCAACAGGAGCTGAGGATTCCTTTCTGGAGGTTGGAAGAAGTATTGGCAGCATAATGTGGGTACTTTGAAACAACCCAAATAAAGCCAGCTAAAAAGAGGTGACTCAGGCTTGAAATGTCAAAATTATTTTAAAAGGCCAAAGTATTTACAGCCATCTTGTTTACACAGCAATAACCATAAATCAAGTCAATGAGGCAGCCATAGGGCAATAATTTGTAGAGAAAAAAATATCATGAACTTTCATGAACCCTGATAATTAACTGTAATATTGTTGAGCTTTTATTTTGAAAGTCAAGTATTACTTGTTGAAATAATTATATGTATGCTGTAATTATATGTATGCTAAAATAATTAGAAAGCTGAATTTGTGTTTCAGTGTGAAAGAGGCAACTATAAAAGTTATTTTATTATATATTGAACTTTATTTTGAAAGGTCAACACATTTAAACACTTGCTGTTTGTAAAGTAGTACTCATAAAAGAAGCAGTATGGCATCTTTAGAATGGTGGCAGTTATTAATGTGCAGAGGTAGCACCGCAGAGAGAACACCATGTGACAATTTATTTGCAATGCCAGATGTAGATGTGATAAAAACACAGCGTACGAAGCCACCTAATCCTAAATTTGCTCAGTGAATTCAGAGATGACCTGGAATTTCCAGCTAAAAGGAGACATGGAATTCCAGCATAAACAAAGCTTCTTCAAACGTTTCCATTTTTGGTGTTTTTTACTATAGCCTTTGTGGCCAAAATGTTACTGTTAAAGAGGCTGATGTGAAGTACTTAAAGAAAGAAAGGACAAACCAGGGTGGAGACAGGAACCTATCCTGCAAGTAATCAGGCCTTGGTGGACATCAGGCATGGGATGTGTGAACAGCAGCACATTTTTCCTTTTGATGTTTGGAATTGATTCGACAGATTGAAGGTGCCGTTTGGTTTTGTTAATAAATTCTATAACGTATAGCAAAAATTGTCATAATTTCAGGACCATGGGCAGTGCACACCATTTTCAAAGTCAAAGTCAATTTTATTTATATAGCACATTTAAAATAACTGTTGACCAAAGTGCTGAACATTTCAAATAATCAAAAGAGATAAAAGCATAGGAAGACATGACAACATTTTAAAAAGAAGCATAAAATTGATCTTGCAGGACTGTACCAGTTCAAAAGATCAGAAAGGTATGAGGATGCTAACCTGTGCAATACCTTAAAAACAAATAATAAATCTTAAAATCAATTCGAAAACTAACTGGCAGCCAGTGTAAGGATCCTAGTATGGGGGATGTGTGGTCTCACTTGCGTGTGCCAGTTAGTAACCCTGAAGCCTGAAGCCTTTTGGACCAGCTGAAGTTAGCTAACTGATGACAGACTAACACCTGAGTAAAGACTATTACAAAAGTTGAATAGCTCTCTCAAAGTCTCTGGAACAGAGGAATGGCTTCACTTTTGTTAGTAGCCGGAGATGAAAGAAACTGGTTTTGATTACAGCATTGATCTGTTTATCAACCATTGATAAACAGTTAGAGTTCTTAATGATATTCTTGTAATTACTGATACTGGACGCTCTATGGTCCCTGTTTTATTGGACCTCTCTTGATATGGTGGACCATAACATCTTATTATTAAGACTTGAGCACACTGTGATACCCACAGAGGCACTGCCCTTGACTGGTTTAAATCATACCTCGCTGACAGGTCCTTTTTGGTTAACTTGGGCACCTTCTCTTCCTCTGCACTGGCCTGTTGCAGTGTGCCTCAAGGATCAGTTTTAGGCCCTATTCTTTTTCATTGTATTTGCTCCCTTTAGGCGCAATCTTTGAAAATACAATATTAGAGCAGGGCGATATGGCCAAAAATATTTGAAAATTTGCGATAACAATATAACTGACGATATAATTGATGCGAGACAAAATACAACTCCACAACTTTACTAGCGCAAAAAACCCCATCCATTTATCATCCATTTATTTTAACTTAAACAAGCAGCTGTTATTTATATGTATTAAAGCTATCTAAAAATTTAACAGTGCAAATGCAAATTCCTTGCTGAAAGTTTAACCAAAAGGCATTTCCAGTAGAAATGGGCTGACATATCCTCAGCATAACCATGTATAATATCCACTGAAGATAAAAAGAGGTGCTTTGCAACATTAAACTGCTTTGTGCCAAATAAAAAAGTCAAATATGTATTTTTCGGGCCATAAGGTGCACGGGATTATAAGACACATTAAGCAAAACAGTCAGATAAATCAAACTTTATTCAACTCATTCTTCCCATGTTGTTGCAGTATATTAATGACTAACCTCGTATTGTGGATGGATTATCTCAGTTGTTCTCCTGACTGAAGTTTGCTCCGTTTACAGCATCCTGCCATGCGATTGCATTTGTCTCTAACCATCAGGAACCCTCACGTTAACTTTTATCGAGGGGAAAAGTGTTAGCTTAAATCCTCCAGCTTCACTGTTTATGTTATGCCAACATAGCTGTGTCACTAGCGATCACGTAGCACATCATTATATACCAGCTAGCCCAACTTCAGTAATCCTACAAACGTCACTGCTGTTTAATTTTCTGTCTTCATTTATGTTGGAAGTGATAGCAGAGCTGTACGTTTGAATGCTTTCAGAAATCTCTCAGTCAGAACATGCTACATCATGCTTAGGTAGCTAGCGAAACTAGCGAGCCAACATTCGCTAGCTTCCTGCTAACTTCTAACTCCGTTAAATGTAATAAATTCTGTTTTCATGGATGCCTGGATGTTATACTTCATAGTTACACCTGGTAAAGCAGCAATGCTGATCATTTTATTAAAGATGTTCCACATGAGGACCTGGAGAAGCTTATTCACGCTTTTGTGACCTCCAGGTTGGATTATTGCAATTCCCTGTACTTCAGTCTTCCCTCCTCCTTAGACTGCAAACAGTCCAAAATGCGGCAGCCCGCCTCCTGACTGGTACCAGGAAATTCTGCTCTATTACTCCTGTTCTAGCTGGCTTGCACTGGCTGCCCATTAAGTACCGTATTCAATTTAAAATATTACTGCTCATGTCCAAAACCATTAATAAATTAGTGCCGAGTTATCTTAGTGAACTTCTTAAGCCACATAATCCTGCTAGAACACTTAGATCTGCTACTCAACTACTTCTGACACAACCTAGATCTCGGCTGAAGTCTTGGGGTGACCGTGCGTTTGCTGTGGCTGCCCCGGTACCGTGGAATAACCTCCCCCTCGCTATCCGCGCCTCTGATTCTATTGCACTATTTAAATCACGACTAAAGACCCACTTATTCAATCTTGCCTTTCCTTCTAGTTAACATTTCACTTATGATTTCACATTATGTACTTTTATGCTTATTTTAATTCTTTGTTTGATATGTATCTGCTGCTTCTCCTATGTATCTGTGACAGTGATCTGCTTGCATACCTAGTACTTGCTTTGGTCCTACTTCTATTTACCTTTCTTTTATTCTCTATGTTTACTTGTTAAGCACCTTGGTATACCCTTGGTTTATAATTCGTGTCAAAAATCACTCCTAGGTTCCTTGCAAAAGGTTTTCTTTTTTTCTATAAATTTCTAAAGGGCCAAAGTCGTAGTGGTCACAGGGACCAAACGCAATGACCTCTGTTTTTTGTTCATTTAAATTAAGAGAGTTTAAAGCCATCCATGCCTTAACATCTTTCAAACAATCTAATAAAACCTTTAGAGGACACACAGATTTAGATTTCAGTGGCAGGTAAATCTGTGAGTCGTCTGCATAACAATGACATGATTTTTTTTTTTTTTTAATTGAGCCCATTGGGAGCATATAAATCGAAAAAAGGACTGGGCCAAGAATGGACCCCTGCGGAACCCCACAAGAAAGTGAGGTTTCTACACTCATGAGCTGCACTACATTTTTTATTTGCGGGCCTACACAAATTCAGCTGCATGCATTATGACAATATATAATATATAGATCACAAATGTACACACGCACAACTCCCTCATGAAATCTCTCAAATTCACTTTTTTCACTAGATTACAAGGTTCTTGTGAGATTGGGCATGTCCAACTTAAACTTTTGTAAATCACCCATAAAACTACTCACACCAGTGCTATTTGGGGAATGTACTCACATGCTATTTCGCCTCATTTAGGTAATCTGGCTCTTTGTATCAATCATAAGACTGGGATTATTCTTTCTATGTCTGCAACCCTGCTAGGGTCCACTCAGGTTAGAGTGACAAAAATTTCATTATCACATAGTGAGCATCAGAGTCCGTGCGGATGTCTGTGTGCCTCCCTGATTTTGTGAGTGCACAGACTCATCTGCGGAAAATTTTAAAAGCCAGATAAAGAGACAGCTGGAAATAGGGGCTGAATAGTCTAATAAACCTGATTTATAATTGTGTGGCTCGATGCGATTCCATTAGCACAGTTAATGATGAGAATAAGAAATCTGAAAAATAATATATAGTGTGTCTCAGTGCGATTCATAGTTTTCAGTCACGTGACCAACTTGCTACTCTGGTGGGCAAAACATTATTCCATCATGATAGCCAATCGCGGACCATACTGCAGGACAGATGTGCGAGGAAAAACAAAGATGTGAAGAGAAACTGTGTCAAAACTATAATAACTACAATAAATCTGACGAATAATAAACAGTGCGCCTCAATGCTACTGCACTGGCAAATTCAATAGTTATAAACCTGACAAATAGTTGTGTGCATCAGTTATATCACACACACAATTATTGGCACACTCAATAATAATAATAATAATAATAACAAATCTGATGAGCCTTGCCACACACAGAAGGTGACAGAGTGCGACAGGCAGTAGGAGATAGAGATATGTCTGAGTAATGTCCCTGATTATGGGCTAATTTTAGGGCCACTTCTCTTACAAACACTTAACAGGCAAACAGAATCTTGCCTCATCTGCTCACTCTCACCTGTCTGTCAGCCTTCTTCTCTTGCCAAGAGGAACCAGCAGCTCCTCGTCTCTGGGTTCTGCCTTCTGAAAGCTCGTGCTGTTTAACACAGAGAGAAACAGATACCATGTAAACACCACTTGTTTTTCAGAATTATTTGCAGGACAAAATAATGACCAGCTGTTGTTCTTCTGGAATAATAGAAATAACAGAGATCCTCTTACTGTAGACGTCATTTCCCATTCTATGTTTGTTTACATGCTTGGAGAAGCTCTATTCTCAGATTTAACAGTACAAGATCCACAACAAAAGCATTTTCTCCACCAGTCTACAGTTACCTGTCTGACTGGTTGTCATGCTGGCGCACGGTGACAGGTATGAGGGTTATGACTCGTTCTCCGCCCAGCCTATCAGGAAGCACCATCTCCTTACGCATGTTAATGTCAGAATATGGACAGCCAAAGGCACTAGGTGACAGAGTTAGACAAACATTTAACAAAAGAGAAACACAAACACCAAGAAATTACAACCAAGCAAACACGAATCACCAACAACAGAAACAACGCAGCAAAACAAGTCAGCAAGCACAAGCATTACAGAAATATGACTCCTCTGTATTTAGTCATAGGCAGGTACGCAGTATTTTGAACAAGCTGGAGGCGTGACAGAACTGGCTAAGTCCAACAAAAAGTGTGTGACAGTAATCCAACTGACACGTGTATTACTGTCACAGTAGCTGCTGGGTCTAAAACCCAACATTTCAGTCTTCTTCTCATTCAAATGTAAACAGTTCAAGGCTATCTGAGCTTTAATTTTCAGCAAGACATTCAATAAGAGGTGTAATTTAGATCCTTCTCCTTAAAGGCTTTCTAAAAATGGATCCCAAAGGAAGGAAATAAAGTGAGAAAAGCAGTGGGTCTAAAATGTATCAATGAAAAAAGTACAGAAATGTATTGCACATATCAGACGAGGCTTCCAAACATAAAGACTGTGAGGCATTAGGAACGGAGTCAATGGTCTTACGTGGGTTATGACAGTCAGATGAAATAATTCTCGATAAAGTCTTTAAGCAGTGCAGTGTTACAGATGGTCTTTTAAGATTTGAACTGACACCTGGAACTTGTCCTTCTTTGACCTGTGTTCAGCTCTGCGACACTCCCGTTTAATCGTACGAGTTCTATCGTTATCTATCAAATTTTGGGTCAGGGATCTGTGGGGCGGGTGAGAAAGGTACTTGTGATTTCTTTGTGTAACAGGTATCTGTGGTTTGTCAGACCGGTTTCTGTCACACTTAAAAGGGTAAATGTCCCTGCGATGGTTGTATGAGGTATTGTATATGTATATGTAAGGGAATTAACTGTAGTGTTTTGTATGAGACAGGTACCTGTGGTGTCCAGTGTATTTGGCTCCTTTGATGTGTCCGACTCCTCTGCAGCCTGCAGTAGGACATACTCCCTGAGAGGGGGAGGGCAGGTGGGACAAACCTGTCTCACACACATGATAACAATGAGTGAATCTGTCCTGCTATAACTTTCCTTCTGAACTGTAACACTGTCTGACCTGTCTGTCTGACTAGTCTGTCTCTCTCTGACCTGTATGTCTGACCTGGGGGGGGTTCCAGTGGATGTCCAGTGCGCTGACACCAGCCAACAGGATGCAGGTCGCAGAGGTCGCTGTCACACCACACATCGAACTGTGTCGACCACCCATCGTAATGAATCTGTAGACACACACCTCGTTGAATACTTCCTGGCATCAAACGTGCACACTTGACTATTGAGGTATCTCATGTCACGTCATGGGCGTGAGAGGTGCTTGGATGTGTGCTAGGGAAAAATGTGTACTCCCTGACTGGCTGCCAGTGGTTCTGGGAGGTTGCTGGCTACTTCTGGGTGAAATTGGGTACAAAGGAAGTGCTGCAGCAAAAACCTAATAGCGATTGCTCTTGGTGTTAGCAAATTGCCAGTTTGCCTGCATCTTGATGCATAAACTTTTCTGGACGGTCATCTGTAGTTTTTCATGCAAATATTAACTGCTAGCCAAGCAATAGTACAACTTGAAAAAATGCAACACAAACTGAAAATGGAGAAGATAAAATCTGTGTTTTAACAGGGGGTTATATGACTGCTTTATAAGCCTGGTTCACTTGAATTTAGCAACTGTTTTCACAGTAATTCAACCTCCAGCAACCACTTACAACAAGTCAAGGAATACTTATTTTTCTCATGACTGGTTGTTGTCAGACATTCTGGTCTGGTCTCTGTGACTGGAGCCTTATTCACTAGGTCCTATATTCTGACCTATATTCTGTCACATGTCCAAAATGGTAGACAAGTTAACGATTATCACTACATCACACACACAGATACACATTACCTTCACCCTGTAGTCCTCTGTGTCTGTTACTGTGGCAACGCGTATTAGCATAGGGTTTCTCCTGTCAACTGCCTCAAGCTTATGGTTCACCTGGAAACCATGTGGCGCTCTCTGTTGGACAAAAGTACAGGGAAAGCTCTAAGTTACCAGAAACAGCTTCCTGATTGGCTTCATGTTTGCATGAGCCTCCTCAATCCTCACCAGAGTAAAGGCTGAAATAGGAGCAGCAGTAGAACCGGTCTCCTGAAGGTATTCCTCCCAAACAAAGTTTTCAGGGTTGGGGTGACCTGCAAAATAAAGTACTACAGAGTTTTACAGAGGAATACTATATGGAAAATTATTGTGTGTTTAAATTACTGTATAGGGTGTGTCGTCAATTAGCAGCTGGTTCATTTGTGCTTTGTCCTTCTCCCAAATGCTCTTCCAGTATTGCTCAGTCTCCAACCTTGGCGATGCTGTTCTCATGTTGTTCCCCTGCCACTGAGAGTACACCTTGGATGGTTCTGCCTCCGATAGTTGGTCAACCTCGCTCCGTGCTACCTTGATCTTGGCCCCTAGTCTCCTTCTCCACCGAGGGTACTGCTTTTTTTGGCTATTCAAATGGTAACTTAGCATCTCACTGATCACTGTTACCAGAGTGTAGATCAGCTGGTTGGTCTCAGTAATGGTCGCGGTAGGTATTGTCCGTAGTGCTGCATTCACATCACCTAGTAGATCTTCAGAGGGTTCCGAGGGTACTTCACATAATCTTGGTAACAGGCTACGGAGTGTCCAGGTTTCAAGCTTCACCGTGATCCTATCTTTCAGGTCAGTTCCTCCTGAACTCACCGCTTCCTTCCTCCATTACACTTGGGGCTTAGTACCCAATCTCAGGTACCCGACCTGGCGTCCAGGCTCCTCCTTGCCGTAGCATTTGTGTTGCACCTCGTCAATCCCTAGCTGTCAGAGCTGTTCCTTCTTTCGAATTTTGGAACACTGAGCTACTAGTTGTTTCGCCATCAGTCTGGATGCTGGGTATCGATGTGTGAGTGTGTTTGTTATTTGCCTGTCATTCTATGGTAATGTAAGTTTGTAAGCATAGAGTTCAGAAGGACTGCATACCCTGTGGCGCAGTAAGAGGTCGTCCCTGTTCTTCACACCAGCCCACCGGATGGATGTATGGACTGCTACTGTCACACCTGGTGGATCAGTACAACCATCAATCCATATACCCGGTTTAAAACACGTTAAATAATAAATATCAAGTGAAACAGCGCCAACACTACAACCTAAAAATACTGAAAACAGAAAAAGTCTGTCGTCCTTCTGTCTCACCAGTAATCATATGTGTCATCCCAGTTGTCAAAGTGAACAAGGAAGCAGTCATCGATGACATCAGCAACAGAGGCGACACAGACAAGTCCAGGATTCTTTCTGTCGACTGCCTCCAATTTCATCCCCACCCTGAACCCACATCCCTAAAAGACAGGCAGGGGATAGACAGATACGTGGGTCAGACTGACAAGAGTGCAACAGGTGAACAGAAAGGTTCGACAGACAGACTGTATACTGACTCCAGTGCAACACGTGAACAGGGCTGCTGGTGCAGACTGAGAGTCTGTGGACTGAAGGTACTGCTGCCAGTCAAACTCTGTCTCACTGTGACCTGCAGACAAACAGACAGGTGTGGTAACCCATGCCATGTAGTTACCTCTGAAGGGACTGGTCCACTTGTTTTTTACCTTTAGGTGGATGAAGCTTGTGGTTGTGCTCTTTACACCAGCCTGCCGGTCTAATATTGGGTGAATCTGCATTTACCCAGAAGTCATAACACTCTGAGTACCCATCAATATGAAGGCGTAGCCGACAGCCAATCGCCTGATAGAGACAGGAGGGCAATGAGACTAGATCCAAGCAGGAATGCGTATGTGGATGTGAGTGACAATTTTACCTCTGCAATGGTCACCACACAAAACATGGAGGGGTGCATTGGGTCAATGCCTTCCAACTTCATCCCAACTTTAAAACCAGTTTTTCTACTAGGAAAGGTCTGGGACTGAGAGTCAGGTAAAAGAGACAGAAACAGGTCAGAGAGAGTCAGGCAGAGATCAGACAGATGTTTTCTTTTTTTTACTTTTAAATACTTTAAAGATAGTTAAAGTATTTGCACAACAATTCAGACAGCATAACAAACTTGCTAACCATTATTTAAAGATAACAATTGTTCTTTAACATTTTGTGTTTGAGTTCCAGCAGTGATGCAGATTGCAGTGCAAAATCACACTGGGTTTTCAGCAGGAAATGCATCTTCCAGTTTTTATTTTCCCTATTTTTGGAACCCTATCTATACCTGAAAGACTAATACCCAAATCTATTATTTATAATTCTAATTTTAGATTTATATGTTAAAGAGGAAAATGTTCATGTGAGTGCAGTGAGACTGTGGATTTGAACAAATCAAACACCTTGGAACTGTTAAGTCTATAAAAAGGCTAAAAGGTTGAGTGTGTTTTTGTAGCTAGAGGGTGGTGGGGCATTCGGTGGATCTTTGAGACAAAGACAAAAAAGGTTGTCACTTAAAGTATTGGCTGGGGATTGGCAGCACAGTGGTGCAGTGGTTAACAGTGTTGCCTCACAGCAAGAAGGTCTTCAGTTCACCTCCATCACCTGGGCTGGGCCACGTGCAACCAATTTGGTCGCACATGCGACCTAATCTGTCAATCGTGCAACAAAAGAAAATCCTAGGTCACACTAGTGCGACCAGCCATTCGAAGAAAAAAAAGTGTGTCTCTGTGTGGTCAACAACAGACACACATTATGCTGATATCGTGGTCTAAACCAATCAGAGATAGTCAAGGGCAGGACTCTGATTGGCCGTGGTCCAGATATTCCTGTAGGCCTACACGTGTGTGCGTTTGAAAGAGTAGGCAGATAGAGAGAGTTGAGCAGCCGAGGCCCAATAGAAGTGGATGTAGCTGTGGGTAATAAGAAAAGATGAAAAGAACAATTGATAACGTTTTCGTTAAGTTAAACCCTGATCCGTTCGAAATTCATAGCCAGTGCTCTGACACGGAGCCATCAACCTCTCAGGTTATGTCGAGCACTGGAGACAGCATCAGCTAACGAGCCACATACCATCGACTCCGAAGAGAGCCAGTTTCCCTGGCTGAGATACAGTAAAGCTGACAACATGATGCACTGTATTTACTGTGGTGATTGTGGAAAGACCATGGCCGGCAATACTGCATTTGTGACTGGTGCTAATACGTTTCAAATTGAAATGCTGAAAAAGCACGGTGTATCCAGACAACACATTATACGCCGCGATAAATGCACTGCAGGCAGCAGCAAACAGGTCGTCAGAGGAGACCGAGATAATGATTACGTTTAACATTGCCTACGATACTCCCAAAGAAGAAGTTCCGTTCACTAAGTTCAAGTCTGAAATACGTTCAAGCCCTTTTTCTTCACAAGAAAAAGGGCTTGAACATAAACCCCACATACAGAAGTGATGTGGTGTATGCCCAGTTTATAGATAAGATATCGAGCTGTTCAGATATTCAGAGGTTAGGTTTGAAGACTGAGACACTTTGAGGCGCTTCTAATTTAGATTTTCTTTTTATTTAACATATTTTGAGATGTTATAAGTTTAAATTTCAGCTCAGTGAAGCACTTTAAGCACAAGCACTTTTTCAGTAACGTGTTTCTCTTGTAGAACTGTGCTCCAAATAAAGAACTTTGTGCTGACAAGACTGTTAGTAAATCCTTTACACATCAATATCGTCTGTATGGACAGCAATGTTAAAAAAAAAGTGAACATGTAAAACTGCAGTGTTTAGCAATGCAGTTGAAAAATTTGGGTGCTCCTAATAAAAAACGTTAGGCGCACCAGTGCAGCAGTGTGTTTTCCCTGGCTTCCTCCCACAGCCTCTCTCTCTGTGTTAGCCCTGCGACAGACCTGGGTGTACCCTGCTTCTTGCCCTATGTTAGCTGGGATAGGTTCCAGGCTCTCCCTGATGAGGAAAAGAAGAAGAAAAAGGACGGATGGATTTTCTGGTGATTGTTTTTTTTATTTTGAATTTTCAGTTGCGTTCAGGTATTCTAGCAATTATCAGCTGGTCTCTCATGCTGTGTATTAGGAATTACAACACGGTTAACTTAATTTGCAAGTTTTCTTATTGACAGTTTCAGTTTGTTCAGTCAAAGGTTCAACAGTTGACTACAGTAATACTTGGATTTTCTATGATTTGAATTTGGATCCGTGGAAATTCTAGATTATTGCAGAATTCTTTGCATTTTTCATGTATTAGTATTAATAGATCCAGTTTTCTGTCAATGCTTTTTGAGAGACTGACTTCTGTTTCAGCAGTCTGTAGGTTCTTGGTGTATGTTTACAGCTCCCGCTTCAATTGTTTTAGATGTTTTGGCTCTGTAATGTTATTTTATCTGTTTTAGTAGCAGCCAATAAAATCCTCTCGGTCTGTTAAATTCCCCACTGTGCTATTTAATTTGTCAGTGTTCTCTAATTGTTTTTACGTGTAGTATTGCCTGAGTTAATGGAATGAAGTTGACGCTGTTGTTGCTGCTGTCCCAAAAACAGCACATTCTCCCTCCTCTTTGCTCTGGCTTCCTCTCACAGTCTAAAGACATGTACATTAGCTTTATTAGTGATTCTAAATTGGCAATGGACAGGAGGCAGAGAGTGAGGTAGATAGTTACCTCGGTAAAGACTGTGAGCGGAGCAGCTTCAGCCTTCTGCTCAGTTAGGTACTGCTGCCAGGACCAGGACCGCCTCTTCACATTCACTGAGGATCACAGATAATCACATCACTGCTCCAATTACTCTGTTTCATTTCTGCTTCAGTAACAGCTGTGACATACCTGCTGAAGTCACTGAAGGCCAAAAGCAGGCAACCTCGCAAAAATAAATGTGTGTGTATATATATATATATATA